CAAGAAATCCGATGACATAAAGAAGATGGTGAAGCAGGTGTCCGAGGGCCCCTCAAGGGCATCCTGGGCTATACTGAGGACCAAGTTGTCTTCTGCCCCTTTAACAGTGGCACCCACTCTTCCACATTCAATGCCGGGGCTGGCATTCCCTCACCAACCATTTTGTCAAGCTCATTTTCTGGTATGACAATGAATGTGACTACAGCAAAGAGAGGGCCACATGGCCTCCAAGGAGTAAGAGCCCCCTGGACCACCAGCCCCAGCAAGAATACAGGCCCTCAGATACTGGGTAGTCCTTGCTCCAGATAGATCCTCCAACTCACTGAGAATCTCCTGACCTCCATAGTTTCTAACTCTGACCCCCTGAAGAAGGGGAGGGACTTAGGGAGCCCTACCTTTTCACGCCCCATCAATAAAGTACACCGTGCCCTGGTCAGTTTGGCTCAGCGGTAGTGAGTCGGCCCACGGATCAATGAGTCTCAGGTTCGATTCCGGCCAAGGACATGTACCTCAGTTGTGGTTCTTCCCGGCCTGGTCAGGGTCCTGCAGGAGACAACCAGTTGATGTGTCTCTCGCACTTCGATGTTTCTCTCTCTCTCCCTTTCTCTCCCTCCCACTCTATTTGAAGATACATAGAAAAATGCCCATGGGTGAGGATTAAAATAAAATAGCCCTGGCCGGTTTGGCTCAGCGGTTGGAGCGTCAGCCTGCGGTACAGAGAGACCCGGGTTCGGTTCCCGCTAAGGGCACGTACCTTGGTTGCAATTTGTCACCGGCCCTGGTGGGTCGTGCGGGTGGCAGCCACTCGATGTGTCCCTTTCACATCGATGTTTCTCTCTCTCTTCCTCTCTCTCCCTCCCGCTCTATCTGAACAAAAAATGGAAAAATGTCCTCGGGTGAGGATAAAAAAATAAATAAATAAAATAAAGTACACTGTACTCAGCGAGAGAGAGAGAGAGAGAGAGAGAGAGAGAGAGAGAAGGCGAGAGAGAGAAGGCGAGAGAGAAAGAGAGAAGGCGAAAGCAGGGGGAGATAGCAGTGGGTGAAATAGGAGATCTGGGTGAGAATTCCAGGCGCTGGGTCTTGGGGAAGGAATGGGGAGAAAGGCAACGCTGTGACCAGAACATAGACGTGGCCAGGGGAACTGATGTGGGCAGGGGATGGAGACAATCAGCTTGGTCTTCAGTAGGGAAAATATGAGTTGCCAGTACATGAAGATATGAGACCAAAACTCAGGAGAGGAGCTGGGCTGGAGCATGAGGAGGAGCAGTCATTTAGGAGCTACTTACCTATGTAGGTGCAAACTGAAGATTTGGGAGAGGAAGATGAAGGGAATCACCTGGGGAGAGTGGGGTGGAGGGTAGACACTCCCTGGACATCACTGGGCTCCCTTTTTTTAAAACTTCCTGAGGACAGAGGAGGAAGAGGAGGCACAGAAGACAAGAAAGGAAACTTAGAGAGAACTAGGAGACCTTGGTGAGCATCCAACAATGTCGTATCTCACAGAGAGATCCAGGGGTCAGAACAGCAGGGTGGAAACCATTGGCTTTGTGGTTGGGAGTTGTCAAAAGTGACCCTGGAAAAAGTGGTTTCAGGGGCCAGAAGTCAAACCAGAAAGATTTAAGAGGCAAGAGACAGAGGATGTGGGGGTAGCTGAGGCTGCCTGGAGAAGGGAGGTTACGGTAAGCAGGGCTGGATTAGGGTGAGGTCAGCCCTAAGGCCTTGGGGACAAAATTTAAGGAGGCACTCACTCTCAGGACTGTGCAGGTGGCCCTGGTAGAGGGGCAGACACAGGCCCCAGAGCTGTCAAGAGACAGCGGCCCATGAAGAGAGACCGTCTGAAACTAAAGGAAAGAGATAATCCAGTCAGAGAACTTAGAGACCCAGACGGAAGCTAAGACCCTCGATCTGCACATCCTACAAAAGACACTGTGACCAGTGGCAGAGTCTCGAACCTCTGAAAACATGAAGGATGGGGGAGGGGCGGGTGGAAGGAAGGATTCACGTTGACAATCTGGGAACAGGCGCTAGGAACACCCGACCTGGAGTAGCCAGGAAACCAGGGAGGGAGGGAGCGAGAGAGAACCTCCTTGGACCCTGGGGAGGTTGGATCAAGCTTCCTCTCCCTGTCAGCGAGTACTAGGGGGAGGGGAGTCCCAGAATCTTTGGGTCGGCCTGGGAAAAGCAGTCTAACTCTCCCCTCTCCCCAGGCTTCTCCCACTCGGGGAGACTTGTGGCCCCAGCGCGGAGAGAGCACTCCACACCAACCTAGACCACGTTTCCTTCCAGAAAGTATAGGCAACTCTCTCCTTTCCTTTCCAGAACTGTTTCTATAGTGGGCTGAATGGCAGCACCCAAAAAGGCATGTCTGTGTCCTAACTCCCTTCCCTCAGACCCGTAAGTGTGACCTTATTTGAAACAAGCGTCTTTGCATGATGTCATTAAGGTTGTCAAAATGACCTCAAGCTGGATTATCCGGGTGGGCCCTAAATTCAATGGCAGTATCCCTAGAAGAGACGGGAGAGGGGAAGGCCGTGTGGAGCTGGGACAGAGACTGGAGTGATGCAGCCGCCACCCGAGAACCGCCTGGGCTCTCCTGAAGCTGGACGCAGCAGGAAGGAAGCTCCCTGGAGCCGGCACAGCTGAATGTCCAACTTCTGGACCCCAGAACCGGGAGAGAATAAATTTCTACTGTTTGAAGCGACCACGTTTGGGACAGCAGCCCTAGGGAACTAATATAGTTTCCTATTCCGTAAAGTGACTAGAAGTTCCCAGGGATGCTTCCAGCCCTGAGATTCTCCAAAGTAAACCTTTCAGCGAGGAGGAGAGTTCCAGGTCTGGTCAGAGGGGTGCTCACAGCCCAGGCCCCTTCCAGGTCGAGGTTTCATACTTTCACTGGAGTGAGGAGGAGGGAAGCCAAATTAAGTGCCCACCTCCCACTCCTCAGAGAAGGAGAGTCCGAAAGAATTTCATGACCCACCAACCCTTCCTCCTTTGCCCAAAGCTCACGCCATCCCGCCCAGGCTGGTCAAAAGGGCCGAAGCTAACCCGGACCGCATTACTAAAAGCAAGGAGCTTTTTAAAAACAGGACTCAGCTTTTCTGAATTTGTCCATGCAAACATCACCCCCTCTTCACAGCGACTCTCTCCCCACCCCTCATCTCTGCCTTCCTTAGTCTTGGGGAGCAAGATAAGAGGGATACCCCTGAAGCACAGGAATGGAAGGCACTCTCCCGCCCTCCTCCTTCTTCCCACGACACAGCTGGAGGGGGGAGGGGAGGTCAGCAGGGTTCATAAAGGCCAGATGTTGAGGAGAAAGAGAGCAGTGCCCACCCCACGCCCACCACCCCACCCCCATCCTCACCCCCAGCAGAAAAAAATTAAAAGACACAGTTTTTAAAATGAACAAAATTTTTGTGATCCAAAACAGTTTTTCTCAAGAATCTGCTCTATGCAAACAATAACTTTTTACAAAGCATTTTCACAGAAAAGGAGACAAGTCCTTCCCCAGTATAGTATGTGGGAATTGTTCCTCCTTCACCCCGTTTTGGGGGAAAGGGTGGCTTTATTCACTAGTGTGGCCAGAAGGGTCACTGGGCAGATCCTCAACCTCCAGGTTCCCCTCACACCTAAACTTGCACTCTCCCTAAGAGCGAACTTCCCCTGCTCTCACCTGGGTGGAGGAGAAAGTAACTCCATCCCTCCCTGACTCCAGGGGATCCTCCCAGCCTGAGGGCTTGGTCCAGGCCTAGCTCTCCCCTCCCCCCCAGAAAACAGAACCTCTGACCTCAAAACTAATCCCCTGGCCCTGCCCCCTTCGGATCCATCAGGTCCCTGACAACTCCCAAAATGCCTGAAGTAAAGGGAGGAAGCTGAAGGTACTTCAGCCCAGTTCCCATCCAAACCCAGACTTTGCCCCTTCCAACTCCACTGGACCTTGTGGTTAGGCCAAGAGCCCTTTCATTTACCCCCTCCAAAAAAAGAAGCTTGTATTGTGCCTACCCCTTATGGGGGCCAAATTTGGTGTCCAAAGAATGTACCCAGGCCTCCCCTCTACCTCCACCCCCTTCCATCCATAAATCGGTGGAGAGGACCTCGAAGGGCAACTTGTTTGGTCTGATTTTATTGATTTCTTCTACCTTCCATTACTTTCCCTGGGACAGTCTCTGGCCCCTTCCCCAGGCAAAGTCTGCACTTTTGGAAGAGAGGAGGTCCCTCAGCCCTGCCCCTTCTAATATGAGAAGTAAACTGGGGGAGGGGATTGGTTTATCAAGGGGCATCCTCCTTTACCCATCAATTTTATAAACTGAAAGCAAACAGGAAAACTGAAGAAGGAAACTTCTAAACTGGACAAAAAGGAAAAGTTGGTGTCTGAGACTGAAGATCTCAACAATCAGGGGTTCCCTGACCTTGGGGGCCCCTAGGAAGGGGGTGATAGTCCCCTTGCTCAAGCTGCCCCTTCCCCAAAAAAGGCTCCATGGTGCTCTGAGTACTGGGGAAGGCCTGAGGGGAGTGAAGGGTTAAAGGCCTAGATAGTGGAGGTGGGGGATGCCCCCAGGGAGCTGCCAATCACCTCCCCACCCCCACCACAGCCCCCTCATCCCCAAGCTCGCCCACAGAAACAACCGGTTTGTCCATCACCAAGGTCTCTCTCTCTTTTTCTTTTTGGCCTTGTCTTCGAGCAGCAGCCTCCTTTGCTCCCCCCGGGAGTGAAGACACTGCCCCCAGAGATCTGAGATGGAAGAGGGGAGGGACTGGAATCTATGTCATTAAATCTTTTCCGTTAAGCGCCTTCTCCTGACTCCAGCCCTTAGTTCATCTCCAAAGGATAAGGGGGAGCGGGTGTCACCCCAACTAGTTAGGTGCTTGAAGATCACTGTCATTTGAGGTCCCTCTGACCACAGCCCATAAAACATAAAGGAGTAAGGCAAGTATGAAAAACCAGCCCGAAATTTTGCTGTCACCCTAACTTTTCCCTCTTGGCAGAAGAGGTCTCACGTTCAGGGTTCCTCCAGGTTGATCCCCCAGAATTTGACGCCGGGGGGCTCAGGGACTGCGGGACCCCCCATCTGCCACCTCCATAGTGGGTGGGCAGGCGGGGGCTTGGAGGTTCCCTGGAGGCGAAGCGAGGATGCGGGCCCCAGGTCTCCGTCCTCTCCCACGACCAGGGCCGGTGGGCAAGGGAAGCAGTCGAGAAGGCTGAAGGTGCTGGTCGTGGGGAGCGTCGGTGGTGGGCGGCGGGGCTGTGCGCCGCGGTGTGGGGGCGCCGGCCGTCGGCGTTTCTTGGTGGCTCCCCGGGCGGGTCCTTTTGCCGGCGGCCGCTCGGGCCCCCTGCGCAAACTTGGAGTGTCGAGGGCGAAGCCCTTTGCATAACACCAAAGTTTCGACCGGCGGATCAGACGATCGAAATGTTCCTGGCGGAGGTTGCCGGGCGCGGCCGCAGCTCCGCTGGCCGTCGAGGGGCTAGCGGCGGGTGCCTCGGGGGCCGCCTGCGGAGGGGTTCCATCGACTGCGGCCGTCTGGCCGGACAGAGGCGGCTCCGGCGCGGCCCCGGGCCCCGTGGGCTCGATGGAGAGGCCCGCAGGTGGCGGCGAAGGCCGGGAATCCGGCTCCTGATGCGGGCTGGCGGCGGCAGGGCCAGGCTGAGAATCGAGACCCAGGGCTGGCCTAGGCGGAGCCGAGGCGGAGCTGGCCGGAGATTCCCGTGGGCTCCGGGGCGCCGGGCAGCGGCCCGGAGGAAGGCCGGATCGAGCGCCGAAGTGCGGGAAACTGCCTCCGCCCTCTTCCTCCTCACCGCGGCCCCGGCACACTGCGGCGTCGGCATCCTGGCCGGCCGGGGAGCTCGGAACGCTGGACCACCCGGCCTGTCCCGCGAGGTGTTTCAGGCCATCCGGGGCCCGGCCGCCGGTGCACAGGGGGTCGCGAGGGCCCAGCAGCAACGGAGCCCGAGGCGCCGGCTCCCCAGGCCCCAGGCCCAAAGAGGACGCCCGGGGTTTGGCAAGGGCGCAGAAGGCAAGGGCACGCAGACACAGCGGAGAGAACTCCTGGGTCCCCAGACGAGGCTTCCTGGGTGTTGGGGAGCAGGGCGACCCTCGCGGGGACGCCGGCACTGCGAGGCGGGGAGCGGGGCACAGAGTCTCCATGGAACCGCCTAGGGGGGTGCCCACTGAGGGGGCCCTGGTCCCAGCGGCGGGATGCCCAGGCTGCCCGAAGAGCCCACGGGCGAGGGGAACATCGCCCCCCCTCGACGGGGAGGTCTCTGCTCACGGTCGCCCCCGGCCCGAACCCCTGGGCCGCGAAGCTCTGGCTCTCTCCTCGATCTCGTCACGCGGCCCTCGCGGCGGCCGGACTCCTGGGTCCCTGCGAGTCCCTGCGCGATCGGCCGCCCTTCCTGCCGCCGCGTTCCCTGAGCAGCCCCGGCGGGAGCCCCTCTCGAGTAGCCCGGAGCGCAGAGGCGGGGGAAACAAAGCGACCGGCGACTGCGGGAAGCGGGAAGGACCCCGGGCCCGGCACCCGGTGCCCGGGCCCAGGCGGCGGGGAGGGCGCCTTCCGCCCGCTCAGCTTCTTTCTTCCCCGCTGGCTCCCGGAGACCGCGTTATAGAGAACTGCCCCCTCGCTGCCCCAATACCAGCGCCGGGGCCGCGAGCCCGCCGCTGATTGGGCAGCACTGCCTGTGACGTTGGCCCGGACCCCACCCCTCTGGCGGCACCGCCCCCGTCCCCATTCCGCACACAGACACACACACGTGGACCTGGCGAGGCTGCGACTGGGAGGGAGCGTGCGCGGGTGGGCTTGTGAGCCGCGAAATGGGCCGCTGCACGTGGCCAGGTGACGTCCCGGCATTTAGTCTCGCAAAGCAGTTCATTTTCCCCCTTAGCGGTCATGGTTTTCGCATCTGTTAAATGGGAATGTTCGTATCTGCCCTCTTGGGGCTACGTGAATGAAAATGGATGAATCTCAAAAACAACGTTGAGGGAAAAGATGAAATGAGGCGATAGTGGCTTACAAGCTTTGCACGGCAGGGACTCGAAGGCAGAGAATGTTCCCCACCTCTGTTCCCCTAGAACAGTACCTGGTACACAATGAGCTCAAAAAATGTTGAACCAGTAGTTAGGAATTGAGTAAGTGTGCCAGGTGAACAAAGGAAAACATAAATTCGGAGGGGGGTGTTATTATTACACCACGGAAGACGATAGACTTTCTCAGTATCTGTTTCCATTTCTCTCGTGCAGTGGGTAAACGGCCTCTTGACCAAATTCCGAGGGACTAGCTCTCCAGCCTCCCTCAAATCCCAAGACTTTGCCTTCTGAGTCTTGAGCTTTGAAAATGGGTGGAGAAGGCCAGAGGAGGGGTCACACAGACCCTCACTCATCTCCCCCAAAACAGTAAAGCAGAGAAAAAGTGAATCCTCAATAAAAATCCCCATAATGGAGGACCACCTGCTCTCAGTATGGTCCATGTCCTTACCCTTCTTTAGTTTCTGTATAGCTTACTGTGATTTAAAAGTCTGAGCGTATGTATTCTTTATTGTCTGTCTCTCCCATTAGTCTAGAAATGAGCTGATGAGAACTTTGTCTTAATTACTACCACATCCTCACTGCCTAGAACCATGCCCAGACATAATAGGTGCTCGATAAACATTTGTAAGTGAATGAATGAATACCCAGAATATTTCTCTCTTGATGAAAATCAGGTTATTGGAATATGGCTGCTTTCCATGCCCAGAAATATAAAGAGAGCCTGGTATAATAGCTTGGAGTAGGGGTGTGGAAGAGGGGTGGAGGGATGTCACAAAAATATCTCATTCTGGATCTGGGGTATGAGAGGGATTCTGTAAGGGTACAAATAATGTGGCTTACATTTGGCCCTCCTGTCCATGACAACGGAAGCAATTTTTTTCTACATGTCAGCAAATAGCATTTGGGAGGAAAGGAATCAGGAAGGTCTGCCTCCCCACCTCCCTTTGCAGAGGCCAGAGGTAAAGGCCCCAAGGTGGGACTAGGGTTTAAGGAATAGGGGAGGGGGAATGTTCTGTTACTCAAAATGCTCACCCCCTAGCAACTCTAGGGCAGTTGTTATGAGGGAAGATCCTAGGGTCCTGCTGGTCTAGACCTCAGGTTCTTACGTGCCCCCCAAACCCTAACCCCCTACCTCCCCCACCACACACACACAAGAGGAAAGTTCTGGAAGGATGATGATCTTCACAGCTGTCTCTTCTGGGGGACAGTGCTGAGAACTCTTACCCTGAGACAGCAGTGCCTGATTTTTTTTTTTTTTTTTGCTTGTGGGCAGAGGGGTATCTGCTTCAATCCAATTCTACTCCAGCCTCTTTGCAGCTGTGGTGCCTGGGGAGGGGGGCTTGGGCCCCACCTGTAGGAAACTGGACAATGCAGATCAATAACCTCCTCCTTCTCCCACTCCAAAAGCCAACAATCCCCCAAATCTGAGTTTAGGGGCTTTATCAGCGACCGTTACTATTGACAGTCCTTCCTTGGAGAAGGAACTCCCTCCACTTCCGCTTTCCCTTCTTTCCCTTCCTTGAATCAGGTACCCCAGGATATATAGCCCCAGAGGGGAAAGCCCTCTGTGGCATGGAAGCACATTGCAAACGTAGGAATTCGTGTAACTCTTCAGCTGAAAGGACCTAGAGTAATCAAGCCTCAATTTTCAGAGTACTTGAACTGGGAGTGCCAACTGTGCAATCCTAGGCAGGTCACCTAGACACTTTGAGTCTCAATGTCCCTATCAGTGAAAAGGGGTCAACAGTAGCTGCCTCACAACATTGTCAGGAGGGTGGAAACATGATGTCAGCGGGCTGGCCTCCCTGTTGCAATTCCTGTTACCTACAGTAGAGGACACTCGACCCCGTCCTCAAGCCAGCAGGATGAGAGGGCAACAACACCCTTCTATGGAACCCCTATTTCCCCGTAGGAGAAAAGGGACAAGGCTGGGGGCTGGGTTCCAACAGACACCTCCCGAATAAGGCATATTCAATACCCTGAGGGACCTGGGAGCCAGCCCTTCCCCTTCTATGGCCCATCTACGTCTCACCCAAAGACCTGTATTCAAGAATTTGGGAGCAGGGAACCTGCTTAGTTGCCCTTTCCCTGGAGGAAGGCACAGCAGGGAACTGGCCCCAGAGGTCCAGCCCATAACTTCTATAGCATTGACTACATTCCCAGTCTCTGGTCTAAGAACTTTATGTTATTTAATCCCTATAACAATTTTATAAAACACTGTCTTTTAACATTTTTACATACCATTCATAACCCAATTTCAGTGCCCAGTTCAGTTATTTTTGTTTTGTTAATCCTCACTCGAGGATGTTTTCTCCATTGATTCTTGGAGTGGAAATGGGAGGGGGGGAGACATGGATTAGTTGCCTTCTGAATGTGCCCTGCGTGGGGGATGAAACCTGCTACCCAGGTATATGCTCTTGACTGGGAATCGAACCTACAACCCTTTTTTCTGTAGGCCAATGCTCTAACCACTGAGCAAAACCAACTAGGGCAACCCAATTCAATGATTTTTATTAAATTTACAATTATGTCAGGATCACCATAATTCAATTTTAGAACATCTCCTAAGAAACTCCTCATCCCCCCTTGCAGTAACTCCTCATTTCTACCCCCATCCCCCAGTAACTGATCTACTTTCTCTCTACATTTGCCTTTTCTGGACATGTCATGGAAGTGGAACACACTACATGTGGTCCTTTGCATCTGACTTCTTTTGAAAAAGCATAATTTTTTTAAATCCTCACCTGAGGATATGTTTTTATTGATTTGAGAGAGAGAGAAAGTATGTGTGTGGAGAGAGATATCGATGTGAGAGAGGCACGCCAACTGGCTCCCTCCTGCATGAGCACCAACTGGGGATCGAACCTGCAACCTAGGTATATGCTCTGACCTGGAATCAAACCCTGCAACCTTTTTGGTGCGTGGGACGACACTCCAACCAACTGAGCCACCCAGCCAAGGCAAAAGCATAATGTTTTGTTTGTTTGTTTTAAATATGTTTTTATTGATTTTTAGAGAGAGGGAGGAAAAGGGAGAGAGAGATAGAAACATCAATTGGCTGCCTCCTGCATGCCTTGTACTAGGGATTGAGCTGGAAACCTGGGCATGTGCCCTGACCACCAATCAAATCAGTGACATTTTTGTCCATGGGTCAACCACTGAGCCACACCAGCTGGGCAAAAGCCTTTTGAGGTTCATTCTTGCTGTAGCATATATTAGTAGTCTGTCCCCTTTTTATTGCTGAGTAGCATCCCATGGTGTGGATATACCACAGTTTGTTGTTTCTACTTTTCAGTTACTATAAATGATGATGAATATTTCATACAAGTCTTTGTGTAGACATACATTTTCATGCTAAAAATGGAATTTCCAGGTCATATGGTAAATTTATGTTCAACTTTTGAAGTAACTGCCAAACTGTTTTCTAAACCAGCTATCCTATACCATTTTACAGTATTATTAATATCCATGTTATAAATAAGGAAAGTAAGAGACAGAGACTTTAAATGATTTGCCCAGCTCCGCAGGTGTGGTTCAGTAGATTGAGTATCATCCCAAGGACTGAGAGGTCCTGGTTTGATTCCCAGTCAGGGCACATGCTTGGGTTTCAGGCTCAATCCCCAGTGGAGGGGGGGGGGGGCTACAGGAGGCAGCTGATTGATGTTTCTCTCACATCAATATGCCTATCTCTCTCTCCCTTGCTCTCTGTCTAAAAAAATCAATAAAAACATATTTTAAATAAATAAATGATTTGCCCAAAGTCACACTGCTAGCAAGTGTCAGAGCCCAGACTCAACCCCAGCTTCCAAGTCCGTGCTTATAACCAAGAGCCCACCCCATGACAATGAGTCTAAGAGGGAAGCCATTTCTTGCCCTACCGTACCATAGCCACCCCCATTTTTGCCTATCTTGCTTCTAGATTTTCCAGAGGCAGGCTCTGTCCTGTCCCTTAACCACACCCACATTTTGCTCTACTCCTTCTGGAAATTTGCACTCAGGATTAATAGGTTAAGTACCGAACTCAGATGGATCTGTTCATATCCCAGGTTCATTATTTGACCAGCTGTGTGATTTGGAGACAAGTTACTTAATCTCTGCTTTAGTTTCTTCATCTGTAAAACAGA